TGACTGTAGGGTTTTCTTCCATCAAGTCAAAGGTATCACCATCTCTCTTATTTTTTGTTGCGTGTCATACTTTATACTTGGTATTTAAAATGTTGACTCCAATGAGATGAAAAGCCTTAGTTTTGAAGTCCCCTGTATGATATTTCGACTTCTTTTAATGTAGATGTTTTACGAAGTATTGAGGATGCTAGATCCCTAGAAATCGCTCTGTATACCTTTTAATTTTGTAATTTATTTATGGAATTTTAAATTTCTCAGTTTTGCGCCTAAAGCGCCCCTCATTATATCCATTTCGTGTTTCCTCCTCTGTAGGACCTTAGAACTCATTGGTTAGTTTTCACTTTCAGTGTGTTATATTGTAACTCTACCAAGGACGCTTTTGTACTTCATGTATTACTCTTAAATTGAATACTTCTTAATTCGTTCACTTGGGGCCGCTTGCGGATTAGACAATCTTTCCACTGATTTCAGACCTCTTGTTCTAGTTAGTTGAGCCGGGTTGCAGATGATAGCTTAGCTGTTCTGTTCGTTAATATCAATTAACGCAAGCACAGCAATAAGGTTGTTCTAATAAATTGCTTAAACAATCGTGTGTCATTTCCTGTTAGTGAATTTAATATCTTGATTAGCTTGTCTTCGAGGGTGTCATTTCCCTATTCTTTGAGTTATTTTACTTGATTTATTAACCGCAACTGTCAAGCTGCAGAGTCTTCTGGTTTCTATTTCCTCGCATTCCCATGCATTATCATATGTTGATTTTTTAAAATTCTGTAGCAGACATGCATCACTATTAGTTATACCATTTGCTTTCCACTTTTTTTTTCGGTTCTTTTACTGAAGTGCATAATGGATTGATTGACATGTAACACAGCTACTTTCATCAGTATACGAGCACAACTTCATAGAGAGATTTATTTATACTTTTTACCTCATTACAACATTTCATACTTGGTTGCTGCGCATAATTGAATCAGTGGTACAAAGACACAATCAAGTACATGACTCATGAATATTTTCACTCATAATGGTAAAGTTTCAACCACAGAGTATTCAGTGGCGAGGTTTCATACAATATACGTGATTTTTGATTGGCATTTGAATATATTGCGGACACGATTGAAGATGTACGTTCACAAATGACTTATTCTAATCTTCAAAGTTATCTATGAGTCATTTACCAGTTTTATTTCGCTCTTAGGCTTTAACTCTGTTCAACTTATGTGGTTCAACAGCATATTACTAATGTATTTTAATGCTTAAATTTAAATTTTCTCATTACATAAATATGAGTTAGTTACTTTTTCGTCTCGTTAATATCATAATTTCACTACTTATTATAGCGCAGATCATGCCGCAAAAGTTTGTCAAACTTTACGCTTGCTGAATAGTTTAGCAGTCCCATGGTTAGGTATTGCATTGACATGGCGTCAGTTTCGTGAATTAGGACCAAACAAACTGTTTGAACGTTTATTGGTTCGCTGTCATTATCCAATGGCGATTGAACTTGTTCGAATCCATCAAAAACACAAATGGCCAATAAGCATTCTAGAAGAAAGTCAAAGCAATTATGGGACGTGTACGTTTACTCGTTTGCTTGCTCACTGGGCATGTAATAGCTCCGTTACGTCTTCAGGAGCAGCTACATTGATATCAGAACGGGTAGCAGCTATTGTTGATAAACTATTTAACAATTCATCGGAAAGCAAATCTAAATCTAGTAATCATCATGCTAACTATTACAGTATCTCTATTCCTCATTTGGATTTTGCCGATGTAGCCAGTCAAGCTATTTCAGCTGGTCGAGAAACAGTTGCAGAGCAATTATTAGAATATGAACCACGTGCTTGGCGTCAGGTACCGTTACTTCTAAAATTATCTCGTTATAATCGTGCATTAGTTCGAGCAGTAGAGACTGGCAATCCTGAACTAATTACTACAGTTGTAGTAGCATTGCAAGAACAAGGTAAATTACCGCCAGCAGATCTAGCAATGGTACTTCGTCGGCATCCAATAGCTTTGGCTATTTATCAAGAAACATTGGAGCAAGCTAATCATTCGAAATCCGGCTCTGAAAATTCAGCACAATCTGCTCTTTTAAATTTTGATCATGAAAATGATCGTACTTCAGAAGCTAAGAAAATTGTTCTTTCAGCCTGCCAAGAAAATGTAAGTTGTTCTATTTTGTCATTTAAAACTTATCCTCCGTTAACCTTCATCATACGCAATACAAACTGAAATTCCATGAATAAGTAATAGGAGAGTGTTTAGTCTCATGTTAGTTGCATTTTAGTGTATCATTTAAGTTTATCAGCAAAAATTGTATTGATTAGTGTTACTTATCGTCATATTTTCAATTTTATGGTTAATTTTTTTTCTGTGGATAATTCAATCATCAATTCTTTAAGTTTTTTTTTTATAAAAAAAATTTTCTTGTATCTACATCTGTTATAAAAAATGGGTAATTAAATTAATAATAAAATGAAAATCAATAAGCTTTCAAAAGATTTTGAGAATTTCAATCATCTAACCAATTTGAGTTTAGCAAATTTTGAATCCACTAATTGTTAGGTTAATTTTAAACATTTCTGATTAAAGTGATTACTTATTATTCGAAACATTATTCATGTTTCCAGAATCCAGAAGATTAGGATTTGAGGGAGCTCAAAGAATGGATGCACTTGCGCCATTGCAAACGATTTTGAGCCATGTCACTCAAGATCTCTAACCATCGGTGACTTTCGTCTCGCGGACCCCAATCAGGTAGCCTACATCTACCAACATGACTCAGTCCACTTGTCAGTGATTTCATGGATTTGTGCCATGTTTTTGTCTGGCTTTCTTTCTGACTTTCTTCCAGCCTAAACCTACACCGCAAAACATAGCTCGACGAGGCAGTCGGTGGTTAGGCATTTGTAACACATGTCCCAACCACCTCAACTGATGAAGCTTCACCACTTCATCTATTGATCTGCCATCCTTACCTAGTACCTACTTGGTTGTCCCACGATATACGAGCAATGCTTTGGATACACCGATGATCGAATACTAGTAACCTACGAATATCTTCTACTCGTACCAGCCATGTTTCGCATCCAGAGAACGGAGCGAACTGCTGCACAGTACTTTCGACGTTTGATTAGCAAACGGATATATCGCCTACGCCATAAATGACGCAAGTTGGCAAAAACCAATCGAGCTTTCTCAATCATAACAGTAATGATATAAGTGATAAAAAAATTTTTTCGCTCTCTGATTATATGATCATGTAATTAATATTCTTCTTATTAAATTATAGAGTTTAGTGTCAAGATTGACATTACTACAAAATGCTGAAGAAATTTATCGTCAAGCAAAGAATGATTTTATGGCTCAGGTATGTATGCAAATTTAATATAAAATAAATCACTTATTTCTATGGAGGAAAAATACAGTAATCATAATGTGATATGAATGCAGTGAGAAAACAGTTATAAATAAAGAACAAATAGAAACTTTAATTGTAGAGTAAAGTAAAAAAAAAACTAATTCCCAATCTAATAAGTAATCGGTCATGTTGCCCAACGTTTCTAATCATAAATTTACTATCGTTATTTGAACATCTCATCCAAGAAGTTTGTATCATATTATCTTTCTTATCGTTCATGTACAATAATGTATAATGCTCCTTCACGTGACTCGTAGAACTATTTCATGATTAGAAATATTCTAAGAAAATGTTTCGACAACAGTAAATGATATATTGTTCGTGATATACGAAAGGTAGCTAGAGAAATACATATATTAGATGTTTATTCATCAATTAAGAACCGGAAACTAACTTATGTAGTTCGTTTAGCATTACTGCATGGTGTGCAAAGTGAGGCGATATCAACTTATGGTCGTCATTAATATATAATAACCTGTTCGTTGTATAATCATTCACTAGTCATCAGTATTATTGTGTATAAATTTGAATATTTCTTTTTCTGTCCATGTTGTACTATCTGTAATCCATTTACACTTTCTTCCACTAAGAGTTATTTATGTTCCTACTCTCAATAAATTTGCTAGAATAATAAATACACTTTATAGCTATTCGGATTTTATTTCTTGTTTTCTCTTTACCAGCAATGTAACGCACAAATACGTCTATTAAAATTTCAAAGTAAACTTGAGAAACAAGAAGTATCTGCTCCTGTCTTTGAAATTAAATCCATACCGGGGTCCAATCGTATACTACCCGAAATAGTACAATCTGGTACTGTAAATGAAAAGCTTTGGGTTGGTCAATCGTTAAACACAACACTCAGTCGTTTATTAGCTTCCGGTCAATATGAACGTCAAGCAGATCAATTACGTAGAGAATTTAGAGTTTCAGAAAAACGTTTCGCTTTTCTTCGTATTGTCGGTATGGCAATCAGTAATACATCTTGGTTAGAAATGGATAAAATGATTCGAGCGAAGAAACCACCAGTTAATGTTGAGGTAGTCAATAGTTGTTTTTTGATTATTATCACTTGTTGCACTATAATCTTTCTTGTTTCATCTTAATTGATAGCCTTAAATGTGCTACTGTTTGTGTTAAGTTTGGTTCTTTCTTTTCGATCAACGCCGTAGCACCAAACAAAGATGGCATTTCTTACGGTTAAGTGATCAATCAACTGTAAATATTTTAATGCAGCACGTCAACCGCAAATCGAATAGATCAATCATAAGCTCTTATTCTGTGAAGTTTAATAACCCGCATATAAATCTAATAGTAGGCATCGTTCGCCTCAAGATGGAAAGTACACCTTAATAACGAGCGCCAAGTGGCACGAAGCATGTCAAGAGTAGAAAGTGTACAAACTGTTAAATAGGCTAAGAAACTTCCCAACAGGATGAACCAAAACAATATAAACTTTAACTTTTTAGATTATATTGAATGGATTAGGGAACTCATATTATGTAAAATAATTCACTTAAGCAATTACACTCGTAACTGGATTAGTCTGTTCAATCTTAAATCGGATTGTTTATTGCATAGGAAAAAGTAGCTCTTATCATTTTGACGTGTCATATGCTGCACTGATTCTTAATTCAGTAGTTATTCTTGGTTTGTTTGAAATGGTAGAAATAAGCATATAGAGCTATGACTTAACGTAAGCCTCGTCCAGTGACCTCACCCCTATCTAGTTATATTCAGTTTTACGCAGTCCACTTCATAACTACTTATCAACGCATTGTCCAAATTTTTAGCTATACTTCTTTTAATCATAATAAATTTCCATTGTTCTTTTTACTACACACAAAATAGATATTAATAAAAATTTGTATCGATGGTAATCATATTGACGAAGCAATAAAATTAATTCCGAAACTACCACCTGAAAGGACAGTCCGTTTCTTGGTAATGGCTGGGTAAGTAGTAACTTGTTTTCCTTTTTCTTGATAATTACGGTACTATATTAATTCTAATGAATGTAAATTAACCGTACCACATTATCAAGGTTTTTATACTTTTAACTGTTATCGATCGATTTTTTCGTTATTTCATAGTATCACACCTGAACTCAATCTGAAAATTCTGTAAGGTTAGCTAGCTAGCCAGGTAATCCTAGTCTCAAGCCAAGATAAAGAAAGTTTACGTTCAGGGTTAGCAAACTTCACTACCTTGTTGTAAAATAGCCCTGTTGTAGGATAACTACAAGGTAATTGGTTATCGGAAAGTTAAGTCCATTAGAAAACAGGCTAAAATATTTGTTCAGGTCAAATGGAATGTAAAGTACTAGTGTTTACATTGGAGTAACTTCGTCCTCTTTTTCTAATCATAAAACATGAGAAATAATTTTTCAGTTAAATTCATTTCAATAGCGTATTAAGCAGGTAAAAAGAAGAAAACTTCTTTAACAATGAAAGGATTAATCAAGCAGTTGCAAATTAAAAAAAAGTTCATAAATAGATTACCGTTGAACATTGTATGAAATAAATGAAACAATGGTCATTCATTTTTCACAATTAATTTACCTATTCAGTCTTTAGTTAAAAAAAAAGCAGCTGTTCTTTAAAATGACAACTAAAAACACAGAGAATTCAATAAATTTCTTACCATACATTCTAATCTTATTCACTCAATTTTAAAATGATTATTTTGAAAGCATTCAAATTCCCTCCAAATTGTGTTAATCTCGTTAATTTTAATCAAGTAGGAGTTAGATGACTGAGTTAATATGAAAAAATAATCACTAATTCTTCTGAGGGATTGACCGAAAGCTTTTTCCGCGACCCACTTATGCCCCTGTTAATAATATATATATTGAAAATGTGGGTGTTAACAACAAGTAGGGGAATTCTTTATTCGCTGAATTCTACTAGGATGAAACAGTTATACAGAACGCTCTAATCTGTGATATACACATAACCTACCTATATTCTAGTTTCGTAAACCTGCAAAATATAATATTAATCATAATTAAGTCTAGTGGAAATTCATTTTAACAATTCACAATCAATGGAATCTCAAGTGTATTTGACAACAACGTTCCTTTCTACATCGATTACAACTTTTTATTTTACATAAACCTGTTCATTTGTTATAGTCTATAGAATTTGTGACGTCTAGTACTAGTACAAAAAACAGCTTAAATCTTAAAATAGTGACATGATACCCTGAATATTTTTTTTCATAGAACAATTAAGATTAAGAATGAATATTCAGTTTTAGCTGATTAATCGTAACCGATGCTTAGAGACCTTAAACGACATGGCTCAAAATCGTTTGCAACGGCGCACGCATATACACGCGTTGTGTTGTATGAAATCCTTATCTTCTGAATTCGTCATTACCTCTACCTTTCTCTATAAATTTATCTCACTTGAATTCTACTTCTTGAATAATATCTTCTGCATTACCAATAATACTTATACTATCTCTACCATTATGGGATTTGAACTGACAGTTGCGTCTCTGTGCTAATATGGTATGGCAACCTGAACTGATGTACTTACGTACGAAGTTCTACGTTGTAACTGACTGACTGAATGGGAATCTTAAGCTAAGCCGTGAATATATCAGACTTCGAAATATTGCAAACAAATGAAGATGAATACTTGGAAGAGTAACTAATTATAAAATGATAGAGACCTGAACTGATGTACTTGTGTATGAAGTTCTACGTTGTAATTGACTGACTAATTAATTGTCATTGGCAAACTGTTTTCAGTAAATTTAGTCTAGTTTTTCCTCAAATGCATTAGTAAAGACAAGGAAAATAACTTGTTTATTTTAATTCTAAATAATTATTTGTATCTCTTTTACTTAATTCAAATAAAAAAAAAGAAAAATTGAAGAAGCTATTCAAGCAGCTGTTCGTGAGAAATCTGAATATGACTTATTGTATATACAACAAGAAGTTGGCAAAACCAACAGACAATTATATGATCGTCTCACTAATCTACGTGCACAAATTCGATGAATTTTTTATTTTCAGCATAAATCAATCAATCAATCAATCAATCATTGGGCTTTCTATTATTCATTTCTTTTGAACAATATAAAACAACTAATTTAATTTTATTTTATCCTTCAACAAACAAACTTTGTATGTATATACCTGAGATTGTGTAATGATGATGATGATCCATGGAGTTTTCTGTATCACAAATTTCTTCTTTACTTTTGTATACACAATTTCATTGATTTCATAAAAATTTCTCTTTTTGCTTTAGTAATTAGATTCACATGAAAAAAAACAATTAATTTTGTAAACAAAATACTACTACTATTATTTCAAACCTACTACTGTCAGTTATAATTTTTCTTAATAATATTTAATTACAATTTAAACATCGTTATAAGTTTGTAATTTGGTCTATTTGGTCTATTCTTCCATTAATCACGTGAAATTAATTTCGCCGGTGTGATTAACAAGATTCTTATTACAAGTTGTTGTATAAAAAGATATTTCCTTTTATTTAGTTCATCCTCCTCGTCCTCCTCCTCTTCTTCATGATTCTACATTAATCTGGATGAATGTTACAATTTAGATATATCAAAAAATCAATATTAAGTAAATGGTGATGCATGAATGTTATTTTTCAACAGTTCCTATAAAAAGAATGAGTCAATTATTTAAGATTGCATAATCTGTTAATGATAACAACAACAACAACTCATTATGAAAGAATGATAATTGAATGAGTGTGAAAGTAAACAATTTAATAATGTAAATATTTCATGTTATTTGGGAATGTAATAAAATAGGTACAAAGAAAATGAGATTACATTAAGATAAAATCAGAATTTCAAGAAATAAGTTAAATAACTGATTAGTATCCGAATATTGAATTGTATTGTGACATTGATGCTTCATGATTTATTTGGTATGGATTTCATTCAAAACCTGTGTTATAGTGTGGAGCCATTAAAAAAAGACCTAACTAAAAGGAAATATCTCTATATTTTTAAATGTGTTAATGTGGAATGTTTAACAAGACTTATTATTTAGAAATATTGTATTTCCATCCAAGATTTTGCTTTCCACTGAGGTTTTGATAAATCCTGTAAACTGGATAGTTACATTACCGACGCAAATGTTCGCACTTATGTAAAACTGTATGTGCTTACTGATTTTTACTGACATTTGTTTGCATAGTGTTAAATTCTATCATTAATTTATCATGGTTTCGCAAATAGGAACCTATGAATGCACAGTGTGTTTTGAAATTTAATATCGCCAATACAACCAAGGACGTGTGGATTAAAATCACGTTTTTTAAAAAAACCCATGTTACTCTATTAGGTCGATTCTGAATTGTAAATCGAAAAATTATCCTACTTTTTAATCAAAAGAATTCTGAAAAGAGATCAGTGACCAATGATAATCATCGACTAAAGTACCCAGATTCAAATAATTGTACTGTGATGTGTAATCAAGTCTCCAAAACCGTAAAACAAAACATGGTGACGATGTATGTACAGTTTTGTCAATAAGTACAATCTAGTAGGAACCATAAACGATGATAAGTCAGTGACTTGTTTCCGATTCACTACACGCTAACACGTTATCAATAAAGGTTGACGCAGCTCGATACATCTATAACCAATAAGATTATTACATGATAGTAGCACAAATTTGCTTGCGAAACACTGATTGTTTTATCTGGATGAAAACTAAAATCAATAGTACCTTAGCCAAATAATTACTGAACTATCGATGTGTGTAATCTAATTTTATGATTGTTATACGACTTGCTGTTCTTATTTTGTTAACAATTTATTATTTACAATCTCGCTTACTCACAGCCACTTTTGCCTCATTCATGTGCAGTTGTAAATTTCTACTTATTGGTACGATGTGGTCTGGTTCTGTGTATATATAAAAATAATGTCTTAAATATAATAACAAATCTTGGACTAGTGGTCATTGGTCATTCCTTCTTTTTCTTTGGTTGGGCAAGTTAATGTTGGACCGTTGTCCAAGCATAGTAAGTCTCTCGTCCTTGTCGTATATAGGTCACTCAGAGGTCGTCTTCGTATTGATTAGTGTAAAAGATATAAAACCAACCAAACGTAAATGTTAAGTTAAAAAAAACAATAGTTTGTAGCAAAATAATTTACGTGAAATAAATTATGTACAAAAATGATCATGAATCCGATGGAATACGTTCAAGCACTAAAATAACTTCAGTATGTCGGGTTTGTGGGAAAAGATCTACGGCTTCAGCCATAGTCGGAACAAATGGTACTCCTGTGAATTTCTTGGAACATGGCCTAGCAAAACTAAAATCATGAAAGAAACCACAACACAGAATTTTAAAAAGGTATTGTTACATAACAATCATAATTATTCTCATTATAGGGTTGTGAAGATTGCTGAACTTAATTGAAATCATGAATCGATTATTGTTAGACCATCACTGAAAACCTGGAAGTTCTGAACGGCCGTCTCATTCTAGTATTGGACTCATCAGCGATACGCATCCATGGCCCTCGTACGTGGGAATCGAACCCAGAACATTCGATATCTAGACCACTGAGCCAGCGTGGTGTTAACGTCTAACTTCAATCAATCCACGATATTGCGCGACCTCATCCATTGTCCTTGGTGGGTGATTGCCTCACACCTGACAAGACTGAACTCCATTGGTCACAGCTTCTCAACAGAACTCCGAGGACTTTCTCACGAAGCTAGTCACTAGTAAGCACATTATGCATTATGTAACGCATCCACATTTTATGAACAAAATGTATTGTATCTAGTCTACTACAGTTAAAGTGATATCTGGAAATATGACTAGTTGATTAGAATCTGTACGTTAACAACGCTTGCAATCTAGGTAGATGGAATGCTGTTGTAAATCAATAAAAATAATAGAATTTTATGTACACTTAAAAGGTCGAAGACTATTGGATTCGTTCTTCAATATACTTAATACGTCGAGCATATTATCAAATCTTTTGTTGAAAAACTTCGAGAATTCTTCAGATAAGTCTTTAGAAATTGTGAAAAGCTGGAAAATGCTTTGGTCAGTCAGTGTTTAATAGAAATTCACCAGGAAGTTTCTAAAAAAGCAATGGATATGACATCTTGATTAAATCATTACTATCTTTGTCACCAATCTTAGCAAGATTCCAA